CATCCAACTTAATGGAGAGAAACTCAACATGATTCCCCTAAAATCAGGCACAAGACAAGGCTGTCCACTCTCTCCATACTTCTTCAATATTGACCTTGAAGTTCTAGCTAGAGCAATAAGACAACAAAAGGAGATCAATGGGATATTAATTGGAAAGGAAGAAGTCAAACTTTCACTATTGGCAGATGTTATGATAGTCTATACAAGTGACCGGAAAAACTCTACTAAGGAACTCCTACAGCTGATAAACACCTTCAGCAAAGTGGCAGATACAAGATTATCTCAAATAAATCAGTAGCTCTACTATATACAGATGATAAATGGTTTGAGAAAGAAAATATCAGCATTTTTATTGTATCTTATTTTCAGGTCTACTCCCCCTAGTACAGCATGGATCATGCTGTCTACCTCTAAAATCCATGAACCAGTCTGAGGACTATCTGCTGCATTTGCAATCCTGCTGTGCTATTTTTGACCCTTCCTATGTCAAGTGCATACTGCTAATTTATGGTTTGTATTTGTGAAAGTTTGTTTTTCTTAGTTGTCTTTTTTTTTTTTAGTTTTGAAAAACAATTAAACGTAACCTCATCAGTTCTATACATGATTGCTGTTTGAAATAATTTCATTATGAAAGCCAGAAAAAAAATTAAATCCAAAATTAGGAAAGAGCTGCATGCTCTGGAGTTGACTAGAAAACTCTGAAGTCCCCTGCGGAAACTCATGCCAAGATCTATCACTTTTCTTTCACCTCTTCAGGTTTCCTTAGAATTTTCTAAGCCATCATTTCCTTGTCTGATTGCTGTGACAAAATACCTGTGAAAAGCAACTTAAGGAAGAATGAGTCATTTAGCCAACAGCTGGAAGCCATATCTCACTCTCATCATTGTGGCAACGTCACAGCAGTCAGAGCTCAACGCAGCCATCACACTGTGTCCTTAGTCTGGAAGCAGACAGAGATGACTGTTGCTGTTCAGCTTGCTTTCTCTTTTTTATGCCGTTGAAGGTGTCAACCCATGGAATAGTGGCAATCTCCGCTAATCTGATCTGGAAGATCATGAGGAGACACACCTAGAGCTATGATTGCAGGGTGAGTTTAAGTCCCAAGGCACTGACAATCAAAATTAACTATCATAACCACTATTATATTTTTTTCTGGTCAAACTTTCATAATTCAGGTATTAAAGGAAATAGCTCAGAAGCCCTTATTATGTATTCATGTATTCGTTCATGATTACCTAGCACATGTAATTCTTCATTAAAGTTATGTTTTACCTATCTAAAAATATATAATGGATGTCTTAAGGGTTTTGGGGTGTTGTGTAAGTATGTGTTTGGGTTAGTGCTGTGATGAAATACCATGACCAAAACCAAATTCAGGAGGAAAGGGCTCATTTGAATTAAACTTCCACATCAGTGTTCATCATTGGAGGAAGTCAGGACAGAAAAATCAAATATGGCAGGAACCTAGGGGCAGGAGCTGATGCAGAGGCCATGTTTAACTCTGCAAAGCTGTATTTCTTTGCCTACCTAAAACACCTGACTGGTCTAATAAAGAGCTGAGTTCAATAGCTAGGCAGGAGAGAAATAGTTAGGGCTGCCAGGCATTGAGAATAAATAGGAGAAAAAGAGAGATCAAAGCACGAAGGGCCAATCACCAGCTACACAGCAAAGTCACAGAGTGAGAAGTAAAGAAAGGCATGTAGAATGGTAAAATCTCAGAGGCAAAAATTAGATGGGATAATTTAAGTTTAAAAAGCTGGCTAGAAACAATCCAAGCTAAGGCCAGACATTCATAAGAAAAAAATAAGCCTCTTTGTATTTATGTGGGAGCTGAGTGGCAGACTCCCCAAAGAGTAAAGAGCCCTAGGAGCAAAGAGTAACAACTACAACATTTGGTTGTGACTCATTCATATCCATCTGATTTGATATGAAGGTCTTGGGAAAAGACCTTCTTGCATGTAGGACTGAGGGTTCCCCTGTAGGGAGTTTAAAGGAACCAAGGAGTAGCCAATTGCATCATAATTATTTGCAATATATTACCCAATGCTTGCCTCTGTGACATCCCTGACACTTAGTAAGTAGCTCCCTGGAAATACTTTTTTCTGGCATTGGACAGTCTCTCTTAAAATGCCCCATTTGTTGATATGATCAAGACCAACAGGGAGCATTAGACTTTAGGACTGTTGCAAGCTCCTCTGCAAAGACAGTGGGAGTATTTAGTCCATATTTCTTGACATGCCAGGATCCAGTCACCCAGAAGGGCATTCTTTATTGGACCAAGTGCCTTCTGTCTCTGTTGTGGCCCCAGCATAAGCAAGTTGGTACACAGTATGCCAGCTGCCACAGAGTGCTACACTTTCTATTCCATGGGAATTTGTACTCAATCCAGAAATTTAGTAAAAGGCTCAATGGGCCTCTGTCTTACATCCTTGATGTTGGCTGTGTTCCCTGAAGAGGGCACAGCCTTCCAAGATCCTAGGCCATACTGATTGAGAGGAAAAGTATCAGCCCAGGACCTTCAAGACCAAGTTCTCATCACAAAGGAGATTTATTTGCTCAGAGGGACAAAGGGCAAGGAATAAGAGACAAACACAGGGGATAGAGGAGGAGGGAGAAGGGGAAGAGAACAAGGGAAAAGGCACAGGGTATTTGTCCTGTAGGAACAAAGGTCAAAGGTCTGCCTTTGGATAGGGAGAAGACAGTCCTAGAACATGGGAGATAGGCAGTTTATAAGTGTACAAGGGGATATCCCATGTTAGGATAAGGTGATTTATTTTAATTGGGTGTGTTAATTGGATGAGACAAAGGGGGTTTTTGCTTGCTGGACTTCACTGGACCTTAGTAGTAGTCAGCCTCAGGAGGAGGAAGTGGAAAAATAAGTGAATATACATTGGTGGCTAGATTTAAGAATGTTGGGGGGGATTTTTACTGCTTTGTGAGTTGCACCAAGACACGTGGATCAAAATTACTTTTTCACTTCCTTCTGTGTCAAAGTGAAATAACAGGAGGAAGTAAAAGATTTAATAGTTGTTGAGGATGCCTTTGTGCCTGTTATCAACCTGTATTGGAGTAGAGATTGACATTTTGTTTGCAAGATTAGCATTGCAGACTATTCCAGAAGATTTGGATCTATGATATGATATTCTGTTTAAAAATTTAAATGTTAGGTGCATAAGAAGCCTTAATGGTTGCTCTGTAACTTTTACATCTAGTAGCAAACATAACCCTGGGAGTCATCAAATTATGGGCCAAATGCCACAATATCTATTCCAATATATTGGGTTTCCTTGGTGGTGTTTCCTGGGCTATTTTAGTAGGAAGAACTTGCCAGCTCTGTCCAAATGCAATAGCATCCACTCTAGTATGTGAATTTTTCTTGGTGTTTTCTGAGTGGGAATGGCTGAATCCAGTGTTGTTAAAAGAACCAGAAGAATGAAATCTTAACTTGCCTGTGTAGGACCCCAGAGTGAATCCCAGTGTCAGGTACCATTTTATGCCTATAATTATACCTGAATACCCCACAGGAGAACTCCACATACGCACAATGTGTCTGTTTCAACCAGAATGGTCATGATTGAGGAGTTTAAGCAAGGGCTTGCTATCACACAAAAATTTTGCTGAATAAAGCAGAATGTTCCAAACTTTTTGAAGTGTCAAGCTGTTTTCAAAAATACAAGCATTATATTGTACTTTTGGCAAGTACATCAACAGAAAAACAACATTCCGAGTGGGTGGGCTTGGTGGAATCTAAGATCTGAATCCTGGTTGGGACCCTGGAAAAGAAGAAATTCATTACTCTAGCACATGTGAATTCTCTGTCATTTCTAGCACCAAAAGAAAATATTGACAGGGAAGAATTTCATACCATGTGGGTGATTGTGATGAAGAAGCCAGGAAATTCTGAAATTCTCAGTATCGATCTCACCTATCATATTTTGTCTTTCACAGATACAGTTTACAGAAATTGCAATGGATATGTAAGTTGCTGCAATGTATTGAAGAAGAAAGGAACTTCATCAGCACTTGCAAGTCATGTTCTTCAGGACAAGGAAACTTATTTAATAGAGGGATAAGATTGACAGCTGTGAATGATAGCAACCTTTTCTTGTCTGTGGACAGTGGCAGGCAGATCTCAGTGAGTTTGAGGCCAGCCTGGTCTACAGATTGAATTGCAGGACAGCAGGACTGTTAAGCAGAGAAACCCTGCCTCGAAAAACCAAAACCAACCAACAAAACAAACAAATAAGTAATAAATAAACAAACAAAGAATGTAATCCCACTGTTTTTAGGACGAGAGAAGAAAAGAGGGAGAAGGATGAGGCCTGCCAGAGCCATGCTTGCCGCAGCAACTGAGCTGGCCAGAGGCCCTTCACTGATGAATTTGCTCAAAATACAGAGGAGGTCCGGAGCCTTCCAATTCAAAAAACCCTGAGGGCTCATACTCGCTCGGGCCAGCTGTTTCTATCTTCCCGAGTGTGTTGAAATCCATGGTGATAGATTCTAATAACTGCTTTGCATATGGAAACTGACACCTGTCATCTTGACAAGCAGTCCACACCTGCTGGATGGTTTTAAAGCCCTGAGGATAACATGCTAAAGGTCTCTCCAGGTAGGATTTACATTCACTGAAAAAAACAAACTTTAGGTTGTTGGTTTGGCCAGCAATCATCGTGACTAGGACAAAGCTGTGAAAACGGTTCTAATGGTGGTGGTGACTAAGATTCTTCACTTTGTAAGCTACAATGTTCAAACCATGCATTCAAGGAAGGATAGAAAGAAGACAGCAAGAAGCCTTTACTGTGACCTCACTGTGACTTTCTCCTCCTTGCCTGAAATGTCCTCTTTTATGACACAGCAAGAATTTCTATCAGTGCATCAGTCTTGATTTCCTCCCTGTTCTCCCCTTTTGACTTTTATCTCCATCTGCCACTAGAAAACCTTGTGTGCTTTAACTGTTCCCCACAACCCTCCCCCACCCCCTGTAGACACCCAGTTACAGACATAATAATAGGATAGAAGGATTCCGACAAGGAATGTCCAGTCCTAACTTCCTCTCTCTTTGCATTTTTCAAAGCTCTCACCCACAGCGCTACATCAAACATGCCTTCTATAGAAAACCAAGGATTCATCTTAGGAACTCAGACCAAAACTTTTCTAACTCAGGCATTTGTGCTTGAATTCCTTTCTCTTTTGTTATTCACTTAGCTGTCTGCATTTGAGTCACTCTTTGACCCAGCAACAAATTACCCATTCAGTCCCCAACCTCCTCTCATTTCTTTTACCAGGAGGTTCCTTTACTCTGTAGCACTCACATCCCCTAGGTTTGGGTGCCAAATTGCCATCATTACCAGGGTGTCCCCAACAAGACTGCAGTGCCTGTGGCACTGAACTGAACCACTCCGGATTTGGTTTCAGGGAACAGCATGTGCTTTATTGCATAGGAGCAACTATTTACCTACCTAGTTTACTGACTGTGATTGCTTAGCACATGACTTGGGAATGCTCATATCACCAGTCTCTATGTGGAGGAAGCCCGTTAAAAGTGATGTGCAGAGTGCAAACTAGCTATGGGCTAGTCATGATAGTTCAGAATTCAGTGTTCTGACTTAAATAGCATGCTTCTTGTTTAGAAACACAGCACGCCGAGGAGGCCAACCGCATACACATATATAAGCTTACACACACATATAATAACACACATGCGCACATGCATGTAAAATAATTAGGCAAAGGATTTGAACAAGTGTGGCCTTAAAGAAGACAAATGGCTAACAGGTAAATAAAAAGATGCTGTGCATAACTAGGGGAAGTACAAGTAAAATTCACGATTCGATATTATGTTACAGGATGACAATTCAACCATCATTAGGATGATGCTAGCCAGTGATAGCAAGTATCTGGAGAAACTGAGTCCCTTCTCAACTTTTGGCAGTAATATAAAATTGTGAAGACAGCATAGAAAACAATATGGAAATTCCTCAAATATTAAAGGTAGAACCACCATATGCCTAAGTAATCAATGCTATGCTTGGATGTTTACTGAAATCATTGAAATTAGAATCTGAAAGAGACCTTCTGTGTTCTTTGCAGCTTTGTTTACAATAGATGTAGAAGGGACCTCAGTGACTTCCAGAGAATAAATAGCTGAGAAGACTGTTGTTCAAACAGCGCAAACTATTCAGCATTCAAAACCAAGTAAAGTCTGCCTTCATGTGATAACACAAAGGGACCTGAAGGACATTTGCTGAAGAAATAAGCTACTTACTGAGTAAAAATACTGTGTAATTCCTATTACATGAGGGTTCCAAATAGCCAAACTCATAGGAACTGAGGATTAAATGATGGTTGCACATGACCCAAGGAAGAAGAGATAGACTTGTTGTCCAACAAGTATGAAGTTTTGATTCTACATGATGAAAAATTTCTAAAGATTTGTTCTACAATAATGTGTTTATAATTACCAACATTGTCCACTTAAAATTAATAAGGTAGATCTCCTCTTGTATGCGTTTTTAAAAAAATAAAGCAACTTCTAGGCTTCCTATTAAAAGACTTTAAAATGAACTCTACTGTTCAGTTTCTAAGTGAAAAACAAAGAAACAGAACTGCTTACTCAGTGTTAACCATGTTGATTGCAGCCTGGTTCTTAGACCTTATTGCTAAAATTTGCATGCTAACCTACTTGCTAGATGGTATAGGAAGGATTGCCAATGCACATGTGAGTGTGCTCCTGTATGCATAGGTGCATATTTAATTTTAGAGAAACAAGTACTCTCAGTGTAGATGTTTTTCCTTTGTCCATAGTTCAGCAGTAATTTTGACAAGAAATGTTCAATTTCATTTCTAGTCCAAGCTTCTCATGTTTCAATATGCAGCCTCTTAGCAATTAGAGGAAAGCATCAAACCCATTATTATGAAAGGTCCTACAATTATAGATAGTAGTTCATCAATAATTATAGCTTTCAGAGAAGCCATTATGTAAAGCTTCTTTATAGATATGTCATGATTCTGGCACATTAAGATATTTGAGAACAACTTCACAAGAACGATGGCATGACACCGAGACTTAATGTTTTAAGATGTACATCACAATGAAGATACCAGTAGAGGCTTATCAATAACAGCAGTGTTTGTCTCTGTAATGTAGAAACATGATCAGAATAACAAAAATGAAAACTAATTGACCCTTATAACTTATATTGATTCCAGTTGTATTTTGTAGAAGTTTTTCTTCTAATTCATTTCTTTCATTTCATTCCACAATGTCATATGTTTTTGTAACCAAGTACAAAATAATATGCTCATATATTCTGCTATATGACTTTTGGACATATAGTAAAGATACTATATCGTGTTTTTAACTTATTTTCCTTGTTTTCCATTGTCTTGAGTTCTAAGGTCCTAGACTTTGAATTCATATGGGAGAAGTATTCAGACTTCTAACAGGGGCATCAATAGAGGAACACCACACCAACAACACAGGCAGTAAGTTTCTAGGTGCTCTTAGTGTCACAAAAACATTCCAAGCTGGCCAGCATGCTGCTGTGTTCTGCTTTTGGAGGTCATATTTCTAAGATGACTTCACCTATTTTTTTCTAGAGGAAGATTGGACTTGGCTCTTTTGACTCACAAGGCATGTAGAACTACATTACTGTAGGCTGTTATTTCCTGACACCCACCAGAGCGCAGCCATGAGTATTCCTAGGTTCTTCTCAGATTTGATGTTTTTTCCTTGCATTGTGGAAGCTAAAAAGAGTGGAGAATTTTGAGCTCTAGTTTATTTGGTAAAAGGGTTGTGGCTCAGGACCTAAATGAGCCTTAATTCCTCAATGGACCAATCTAATGTATTCTTTGAACTGAGTGATGCTAGGCTATGCAAAGGATGTTCTATGATAGTGCAATTTTACCTTAATGGATAATTGCCTTTTCTTTCTCCTAACTTTTACCCTCTTTAGGGCTTTATTACACAGTCCTCCTGGTTCTTGCTATAGCTTACTCCCTGTGTTGAACTAGATAGAAATGAATCCCAGCACTTTAACTTATATTCCCTCCCATTAAAAAAAAAAAAGATCATAACATGATTTTGACATTCTGGAATTCTGATGTTTGCCTTACTATGTTCTTGGGCCACTGTAGGCTTTTGAGCCTAAATATTTTACAAGTATGTCATTCTTCTGTCTAATATCTTTCCACAACAAACACTCAACTGTCTGGGCTTCCCTTACTAATTCATTTTCTTTCTACATTTTGTTATGAGGGTCCACTCTGACACTACACTTGATCTCATATGTCCATACTTTTGTGAACAATTTAGAAACTGAGTCTAGTTTACTGATTGAGAGTAAGGGAGATAAGGTATCAACTTGTTTGACAGAAATTTCTGCAAATGCAAGGAGACATCCTCATCAAATGCTTGGACAAGAGTTTAGAGTCTTTGATGTCAAAGCTTCATCCCATAAGACAATCTTGGTAGATCAAGGGTTCAATGATGAAGAAACCCCACCCCTCCTGAGTTTTGGTATGGAGGAAGCCTTGGAGACCTTTCCAAGTGACTGTCTATAAAATCCCACAGCAAAATGGATGAACCCTCTGACATGTGATCTGCATTCATGCTAGATCTTGGGCTAGGCATGACTGAAGAGAACCTGGGTCACTTCTCATTTGCACTGAGGAAGCGGACAGCAAACGGGGACTATAAAATTGCAATGTCTGTTGCCAGAGAAGCTCTCACCCCTGAAAGTACCATAATAGTCCCAAATAGCATCACCATCTGGAGACAAATGTTCAAACATGGTCTTGGTGCAGGGGGAAGGGGTGTATGTATTTCACATTCAAATTACAACAATGACTTAGGTCGGTTAAATCAAACATTTTCCACATACATAAATTGTTACACTGGAGTATAATATCATGTAATGATGAAAGAGTTGAGACATAGAATTAATTGTATCATTATAAACACACTTATCATTCCTGAAATTGAATTGCTCCCCAGATAAATGCTTATCTTTTAATTCAGTTTATAACCTCTGTATATTCGGAAGCAGTGAGAAGTTTTATTTTTAACCCACTTCCCCAATTCAGTATACACAGTGCTTACATACACTTTAAAAGTAATATAGCAAAAATATTAAAAATTTAGATGCATGGCATCTTCAATTTTTCACTTGAAATATTGTTTCATTTATACATCTCATCTGTTTATGAATTACATTCACGAATAACTACTTTAAAAGTTATTTTGGACTGACAAGATCGCTCAGAAGGTAAAGATAGTTGTCGCCAAGCTGGATGACCTCAGTTTAATTCCAGGATCCACATGGTAAAAGGAGAAAACCATCTCCTGCAAATTGTTCTTTGACCAACACACTCACACACACACACACACACACACACACACACACGCACACACACATGCACTCACATGCAAATGTACACAAAAATAAATAAAAATAAATCTTAAAGCCTTGGTCATAAAAAGAAATGCAACCTTAACTGATCCATAACATGAAATAAACATGAATAAAGATGAAAGAATATAAACTAATATTTTAGTAATTGACAATGGTAACTGCAATCATGATGATATATAGCTAATATGTCTGAATACATGCCATCTGCTATTCCCTATATAATTCCCTGCAAGTACAGAACAATACTTCACAGACTGTGAAAACATCATGCATCCATTGTAGCAGTATCTAGAGGTCAGAATGTGTGCACAGCTTAGCTGGAGTTTTGCTTCAGGATTTCAACAAGCTTTGGCCATGGTGGTCAGCAGACCTATGGCATCATATAAGTATCGGCTAGGGGAAGATCTGCTTCCAGGCTTCCAGAGGTTTTGGCATCACTGTATCCCATCTGCACCACACTGGAGGCTTCATTTTTCCGCTTGCTGTTGGTTTCTTTGAATTTCTTGGTTTATGGATCTTCCCAACATAGCAGCTTACCTCACTGAGTGAGTGAGAAGAGGCTGTGTGACTTCTCTAGCTGACAATAGGCACCACTGGCAAATACATCTGTGTATAGTGCATTCATAGGTAATCACCTCCATCTCCCACTTTTGCTGTGCTCGCATGGTCACAAAGCCAGCCACAAATTCACCCCCACTAAAATGGAGTGGGCAACATAAGGTACAGTAACTTTGGAATTAGGAGAACTGCCTCTAGTTTGTCCTTTATACGCCCAGCACATATTTAGTAAAAAAACTGTTCACATGAAGGTTAAACAGCTTAGCATTCTACACATGTTTCTAGTGTAGAGGCTTGATAAATGTGGCTTGATTCCAAATGGTGCAGCTAGAAATCCAGATTTTTGCCTTTATTACACGAATATACACTACTCACCAATAAATAAGCTTTACATCATAATAGGCTCAAGAAAAGGGAAAATCAGGCTGGTGATGTACCTCATCAGTTAAGAACACTTGCTGCTCTTGTTGAAGATGGGGTGGATTCCTAGCTCCAATATCTGGCAGCTTGCAATCTTGCAACTGTCTATGAGTCCCACCCCAGTGGATTCAATATACTCTTCTGGCTTCCATGGACACCATGCATGTATATGGTACACATATACACACATGGAGCAGGTACTCACACGTATGCATTTAAAAGAATTAAAAAATTAGTCATGGTACATATCAATAATATTTTTAAAGGGGAGATCCTTTTAGGTATGATAGAAATAACATCTTAATGGACTATTAATATGTTTATTCATATCTATTTTAACAAGCAGTAAATGCCCTCTCAGTTATTTACAAATAATTGCTCCTCCTAACCTTGTTTGTCATCAGACTATGTTGATGGCAATGGCACACTTCTTGTGTCCACTCATCATCATCGAGCACAAGACCGATTTCTTCAGTGATATGCTTCCATGTCTGAAAGATGAATCTAATGCAGAGGTTTTTTTCCACACATGATTTTTGAATTATTTTAAAAATCTCATTTCTAAAAAAGGGGGAGATGAAGAGTGAACCTGATGATCTTAGTAATTAGCAGGGCAGCTGACCATCAGCTGTGAGGTACTTGAGCCTTTGCAGACCACCATCCGAATTGTGCTGCCCACCCACTCTCTCCAGATATTTTGCCCCTAACCAGAATCAATTGCATAGTTTCTGTTTGAGTATATTCCTACCAAGGGTATCCAGGTATGAAAAATGAAAAGATTGATTCGGTCTGACCTGGTTTTAGGTACGTGTGCAGTAAGACAAAACTGCCTATACTAATTGGGATGTATAATGGGGAAAGACATACACAAGAGAAAAACAATTACATGCCCTAATCTATTAACCATGACAGAGATCTGTTTTCTATGTGCCCCTAAATTACCAAACTTTTTTTTCCTCTTGAACCCCATAAAAGGAAGTCCCACACAGTAACTGGTCTTTGAGTACTCCCACTCATCTGACCCAAGGTCCATCTTGTCAGTGTATCCTTTTCTAATCTGTACTCTTGATTTGCCTTGAGTAAAGTCATGTCTCCATGTTTGCAAATCTGTAGGAGCCTGTATTTTCAATCTTTGCACAAGTGGCCCAGAACCTGAAAACACTTGACTTGAGCCCTGACCACCAGAAGCAGAAAATCTCAGATCCAATGTTAACATAGCACTGACTGTCACACTGCACTAGGTCAGTGGCAATGGCAGTCATAGTAACACAAGAGCATATAATTATAACTGGACTTTACTGGCTTATTATGAAAGCCACCTTACAGAGTTTATATAGGTTATCCCATGCAAACATTGTTTTACTGGTTAATATCATTGAACGAGTATAGAGCACACCCCCTACTCTCATCCACAGTGTTCACCTCTAAGCACAGTAACTACACATTGTGAGGTGCCATTGGCACCAGGGAAATAAACGTGTTGCAGATCATCTTCCTACAATGAAACTTGATGTAAGATTTGGATGATCTGATATGGAAAAAAAAGAGAATTTCATTTCTCATTGACATTATATGATTGAAGATTTTGAAGCATTTTAGTACTGTTAACAGCATCATTACCCACTGTGAGTTTTATGAAATACAGAGTGGGGCCTTAGAGATACAGATCATATCTGTTGCTAAACATGGTGTACCCAAACAGCACTTAGAATGGCCGAAGAGCTGATACCAGAAGGGAGGAAAGCATCACTACTGATACCAGAAGGGAGGAAAGCATCACTAATGCTAGCCTCCCCCCCCCCGCGCCCCCTGCTACTGAGCATACCCACTGGTACTCAGAGAATGAGGAGTATACACAGTGATAGGGCACACTGAAAGGCTATCTATTCAAATAGGTTTTCTGAAAAATCATTCATAAACAAGCATCATTACAAAGCATCAACTTAGTGCCAGGCAGTGTTTAATAAATTATGTACCATGCAAACTAAATATTGGCTAGGTTAAGAGACACGATAGAATATGCTGCATAGCACGAGAAAATAAAAGCCACGGACAGAAACTCAGGCAGTTGGACCTGTGTGTCCCTCTTGTGCTACTCAGTCCTAGAACTAATTAGAGTGATCTGGGGCATTCAGAAAAGATATACATATTTTGACCATTTATGAGACTAATCAAATGGCAGTCTCAGGGGGTAGACCCCAGGCTTTCATATGTTTTACACCCTCCAGTGGTTTCACAGGTGCAGTGAGGTTGATCACTGCCTGAATGTTACACAGTCAGAAGGACAAAATATTATTTGGTGAGCATACTTTTCGCATTAAGTCGCTGACACAAGTCTCAAGGAAACCTATCAAAAGTAAATAGCTAACAGAATGCACTTTGATCTTTTCAGATGAATCAGTTCATCTTGGATTAATAGAGTTTCCTCTTCTTTGTGCTGCTGTAAGGAAATATTTCATTTCTATTGGAATTTGAGGTCATGCCAGCCAATGTGAGCATTTTTTCTAACATCGTGTACTTTAATAACCGCTTCAATAAGCAGACATTTAAACTGTGGGGCTCATTTTGTCACTAAGTCCGTGTTAATTTTCTCACTGAATGTCAGCACATACTGTGATCTTTAGATGTCTCACTTCTCCTGTTTCTGAGCACAAGATCATGGGGTTTTTCTGGCCTTTGGATAAAAGAATTTCAAATTGATCCCACCAAAGCCACTTCTAGACTCACAGCATGGCAACAGTAAACTTCTAGTGGTGGACATGGAAAAAACTACTAACCAAGTCAATCTTAACTGGCACTGATACAAATTAACTACAATACATGTACCAGACACTAGACTACGTCATTTACATCCACCTGTCAGTCATTTCCCAAATATATTTATTTCCATTTAATAGATGGGGAAATAAATTTCCTTCAGCAGGTGAAAGACAGAAGTCATGTTTATGAATTGTGAAATTTGGAATGCCACAGATTACACTTAAAATATTTTATATTCATTATGTGCATGCACGAGTCATGCATATGTGTGAGGGCATGAATACCCCACAGCTTGCATGTGAGCATCAGAGAACAGCTTGCAGGGCTTGCTTCTCTCCTTCCACAATGTGGTTTCTGAGGATAGAATTCAGGTTATCAGATTTGTCAACAACTACTTTATTCACAGAGCCATTGTACTGGTTAGGTTTTGTCAACTTGAAAGAAGGTAGAGTCATTTTTGAAGAGAGAATTTCAAGTGTGAAAATGCCTGAACCACATTGGTCTGTAGCCTTCACTAATCGTAGGTGAGGGAGGGTCCATCCCATTTCGGGCAGTGCCACCCCTCAGCACGTAGTCCTGGGTGCTATAATAAAGTAGGCAAAACAAGCTATGGAGAACAAGCCTGTAAGCAGTGTTCCTCGATGGCTCCTGCTTCAGTTCCTGACTCTAAGTTCCTGCCGCAACTTCTGTCAGTGATAGAGTGTAACTTCAGAGTTGTAGACAGACATAAACCCTTTCCTCCCCATGTTGAGTTTAATCATAGTGTTTTATCACAACAGTTGAAACACTAAGGCAACCATCTTGCTGGCCCCTAGAATACATTTTAAAAATACATATTTCATGTTTGAGAAGTCAGCATTGATATCATTAGTATATTTACTGATTGGGTTGTTCGATTTCTTATTATTTACCTTTTGTACATCTCAGATATTAATCTTGTCAGATGGATAGCTAGTAAAGAATTTCTCCTGCTTTTCAGGCTGTATCCATGCCTTTTTTGTGTGTTTCCACTGCTGTGGAGATGCATTTTAATTCTACAAGTAATCATTGAAATGGTCATCTTTATCTCCTATGCTAAGGTCCAGCCAGAAAGACCTCTTCCATTTCTATGTCTTGAAGTGTTTCCCTAATGTTTCCTCAATCATTTTTAGAGTTTCAGGTCTGATGTTAAGATTTTGAACCATTTGGACCTGAGTTTTGTACAAAGGTAAGGGATCTAGCTCCATTATTCCATATGAGAGTATTTAAATATCCAAATACTATTTGTTTAAGCGGTTGTGTTTTCACTTTTATAAGTTTTGAGTATCTTTGTAGAAAATCAGTTGGCCTAGCCAATTCATGACTCTGCTGCTCCATTCCACTGAACTACATGTACAGTTTTGAAAAACATGAAGTACAAATGGCCAACTGGCCTAAAAATGTTCACCATCCCTAAATCTCTGAGAAATCCAAAGTAAAACTACATTGAGATTCCATTTTAAGTCAGCTATGGTGGCTACCATCAAGAAAACAAATAACAAATTCGGGTAAGTACAGAAGAAAGGACCCTGTGCCTGCTTGTGGGAATGCAGGCTAGTTCATCCTCTGTGGATAGTAGTATAGAAGGCCTTCAAAATGCTAGCTGTATATCTATCAGATGAAACAGCTACATAACTAACTCCTGGGAAGCTGAGCACACAAAGGATCATCCAGTTAACATGTCAGGGTTACTTGCTCATCAACATTTAGTTCAACATTTCATTTTTCACATTGCTGAGTTACTGAACCAACATAGGTGTCCAACAATATAGAAAAGGATCAAGAAATGTAACACACACACACACACACACACACACACACAGAGAGAGAGAGAGAGAGAGAGAGAGAGAGAGAGAGAGAGAGAGACTAGAACATTTTTAGCTATAAAGAAAATTAACTTATAATGTTTCTAGGAAAATAGATGTAACTGGGTTTGATATCAATTCAGTCTCAGACAAATATTATGTTTTCCCTGTGTTTCCAAGATTTTATATTGGTATATAAAATAATAGGTTTATAGATGGTATAAAGTAGAAATGAAATTGCATAGTTGACAAATGAGAGGAGAGGTGAGAATGGGGAAGGTAGGCAGTATGGTTTGCTTGTGCTTAAATTCCTCTTGAAGTAATAGGACCTGCCTTAAGTACTCATATACTTGTTTGAAAATGTCCACATGTAACCCATGTACAGTAGCAGTACATCACTGGAAAAATAAGTAAGTATGCATTTATATTGCTACTTTTCAATATGTTTTAGTCCTTGGCTTAAAGTATACTACATTAAGTATAGTCTAAGAAGAGTGGTTTTAGCATAAAAGAAAACTGGATTGAAAATATGTTTGAGATGCTGAAGCCATACTGACCTGTTCTTTCCTTAACCGAAGTCCTCCTGCATTGTGATGTGCCTGGACCATGGCCAAGATGGAGATGGGATTTGAGAGCAAGTGCAGACAGTCTGCAAGATTTTGTCTGGAGAAGTACAATCTGTAATTTTCAAGAGAAATAAGGATATGAATATGAACTTTCTGATATTCAGGCATTGTGATAATTTCAATAATTACTTAGGATGAATTCAGAATTATTCCACAATACTGAACTTGGATGCATCTGATTTTATTCACAATGACTATTTTATTACAAGGATATGAAATTGCCCATAATAAAATGGAATTATTCTGAATCTGTTCTCTAATAGAAAAAATGTTCAAATCTTTAAAAATGGGTTTGGCTCTTAATCTTCCACATGAAAAGGAAAAGATAATTCATTTTTAAAGTTTCAGGACCTGCCTTGTTCATCCACCATCATTTTCCATAGTTAACTTGAGAGTGTCTTGCACAGAATATGACGAAAATGTGAAAGCAGCAATTTTAAATATCATTAAAGCACATTTGGTCAACCAAGTGCCATTTTCAGAAAAACAAAGTTTTACTTTGTATGACCCAAAGAGTTTCAAGGAAGAAAATGTTAACACATGAAATTTGATACAACCTGGGTGAATATTTATTAATATAATAAGGGTAGATATAGTAGGTAAAATGTGTATTAATACTATACAGGGCAGGTACAGTTAACAAAAACTTAGAGACTGTTTTAGATGTTAACCGAGCAAGGATGACACCAATGAACATGCCAAATTGGATGAAGAAAAGCCCATGGGGCCTCAACTTTACACAAAGAACTATAGGCAACTGAAGAAAGCTAGAGAAACTGGAAAGACAGCCTTCCTCAGCACCAAATGGTCAGACCTGTAAGCATGTACACAGCTAGCATTATACAGACTGAACAGGTTATATTTAGGAATATGTGTATATACATATATGCATGCAATAACAATAGAAAGGGGCTTGAGTTTGAAGGAAACTGGAGAGGGGCATAAAAGAGGGGTTGGAAACAGTAAAGAAATGGGAGAAATGTAATTAAATTATACTAAAAATGAAATAAGGGTCATAATAAAATAACACACTTAAGTTTTCAAATTTCTACTCCATGAAATTGAGGATAAGAATTACTTTAAAACGTGAAAGAACCAAGGACTCACACTCGTTCCTTATCTCATACACACACACAGACACACACACACACACACACACACACACACACACACACATGAAAAACAAGATTAACATCTTAAGCAACCTAAAACAATCATTTTTATCAGTTTCTTTTTTTTGGTTTTTTGAGACAGATTTCTCTGTGGCTTTGGAGGCTGTCCTGGAACTAGATCTTGTAGACCAGGCTGGTCTCGAACTCACAGAGATCCGCCTGCCTCTGTCCCTGGAGTGCTGGGATCAAAGGCGTGTGCCACCACTGCCCAGCTCAGTTTCTTTATTTCTATGCAAATTTATTTTTGTCCCACTGCATCTTGATCCCTTGGGGAGTACTCTACTTTCATGAAGACATCTGCCTTGAGCTCTGGAAGCCTCAGCTCAACCCCTGGAACAAACTCAAGGAAATATAAGGCAAGGCAGCCCTGGAATCTGATACAACTGTGTATTTGAAACATATCAGGCATCGGCTCTCTCTCTCTCTCTCTCTTTCTCTCTCTTTCTCTCTCTCTCTCTCTCTCTCTTTCTGTGTGTGTGTGTGTGTGTGTGTGTGTGTGTGTGTGTGTGTGATTGTGCTCTCAGAAAGTGTTCTTAGCTATTGAAAACTTTTCTTCTGCGCTTATAGCAGAAATAGAAGCTTTAACATAAGTTCATAGTGGATGAAACAGCCTGATGCAGTTAATTTATTGTTATAACCAAAAACATTGAAGTGGAAGGGAGAACACTATTGGGCACACTAAATAATTCCCTGTAAGGTTTTCTTTAGTGTTTCTCCTGAACCTAAAGATATATAGTCAAAATGGGCACTGAAACCCTCCTAGGTCTTCCAGTTAATCTTGACTCTGAAAATCTAGAGTAGAAACATTTTATCTGCACAAAATTAACTTGTGATTTAAAAACTCCTCCCATGGACCGCTTTTCTGCTATTGGATACACACACACACACACACACACACACACACACACACACACACGTATATATATATATATGCAATAAAACAAAGACCATAAATTTTTTTCTAGATGCCTTGTTCCACAATGTGAATAAATAAATGTTTTGACTTTATGGGCTTCTGTGGGAAATCCTGAAGTTAGTTTTAAATGTTAGACAAACACAATGTTTTCTCCCTGGAAGAACACACATTAAATGTGTTTTCGGACTTTTTATCACATTGAGAGAATATTATATATGTTTTGTAAATAACAACCTGGTATCTTTTTGTTCAGTGTGATTTCTAATATTTTAAATAAGCACAGACAACAGTCACAGCATCTGCCATAAAGAATATGAGGGCTTTGTTAAGTGAGCGGAATATGATTTAAGCAATTGAGAACTCAGGACAGATGGTATAACTCAGGGACTAAGGAACATCCAGCATTTAGAAAGTTATAAAGAAGATGAAACAAACAACTTAGTGTACCTTATTAAGGGATCAAGGAACTCTATAAAGCAACTGTTTCTCCCCAGATGAAATATGTCCTAGACAGATTAATATAAAGTTTTGTAACAAACCATTTTCAGAATCCTGAAGAAAAGCCCAGGGGATTTGATGTTCAGACTGATGAACATCAAGAAAACATTTAAGTACTTATTAATATTTTGTGTTTCAAATAACATAAATCATAGCAAAGGAATTTCGTTCTCAAATTTTCAACTGGCTGTACAGAATCAAGTTTTAAAAGCTAGGCATGCGATGCATGCCTGTAATCCTAGCTATTAGGAAGCTGGGGCAGTAAGATGGCTGAAAATGACTGGCCTGTATGAGGTATGTAGCAAATATCATCTTTAAAAAAGAAAACAAAATTTAGGTAAACAAGTTCTTTCCCTTACTATTTTCTTTTAAACCTTGTGATACATTCATATTTTATTAAAAATACAATTCCCACTTTTCCCTTGTAAACAACAGAATATCATATTTTTCAGACATAATTTATTTCACACACATATATGCTCCTACCAGGTCATCTCTAATAACAACTATAACACTGAACCAGGTCTACTAGTTCCCACTGAACTGGGAAAGATTGTAATTAGTAATTTTTCTTATAATTCATTTGGCAGAGAAGCAAGTTGCATACCTACTTAACTTATGTAACACTGAAAAGTGACAGGGACATCAGCACCATGTATCCGTTAACAAGACCCCAACACACATCACTCTTTAAGACATTAAACTAACATTCAAAGTGACATGTATTAATACTTAAAAAACCCACCAGGTAATGTTGTGCACAACTGTAGTCCTGAGGAGTGGATGAGCACAGAGATTAAGGACAGCTTGAGCAACATAGTGAAATCCTGTTTCTTAACACTAGACAAATAAATATATAAAAGTGAAACCACAAAATCTTCTGATCAAGGTAGCTAGCTCTTCTTTATTCAAAAAGTTATTTATAGATCCAGAGATTATTCATCGACAATATTCAGTGCTATTTCCACAGCATAAAGCTAAGGAACGGCATTGGATATCAAGGTTTAAGCTGATACATTAAAAAATATGATTTCTACCAACTGGAAGCAGTTTGTCAGACTTTGAATTTAATTTTTTTCACACAATTTACATCATCCATTACCATAAGTAGCTGTAAATGATTTGATCATCAAAGCAGCATAAAAAATTTTTGAATTTCAGAGGGGTATGTGTCAGCTAGTGTCAAGACAAACAAATCTGCTAGGCAAATTCAGGAAATCCTAGAGGCTATGACTTGCTATTTTTTTTATTCATGTTTTAACTGACAAACTAGAATTGTACACTTCACGGTGTGGAACATTATGTTTTCATCTATATATGTCACAGAATGTTCACATCAATCCTTTTAACTCATGACATCACACAGACAGTTTATTATGATAATATCTAACCATATGGCTCTCACCATTTTCAGTTATAAAGGACATTGCCAGTGATTACAGTTGCTGCAATGTACAATTGATTTCTTGAGCTGAAGTGTCGTGCTTTGACTATTATTTCCCCATCTTTGCCTCCAGTAGCCATCATTTTATCAGTTTCTATGGGTTCTGAAATACCTGTGCTTTTGTTTGGTTTTGTTCTTACTCTGTTTTGAATTCAAATATTTTCAACTAATCTAGCTTATCTAAGGAGTTCTGTTGATTATCCGATCTTGTATTCTTATCTAAAGGTATTTCTTAGCTAATAGTTAAGAGTAAATTCTTTCAAAAGTAACACACGTAGGTATGAGAAGTTTAGCGTTTTTATTTTCCACAAATGTGGAGAGATGAGATTTATATTAGTTTTCTTATGCTCTGTAAACCAATTACAAGGGAGCTGCTTTAATCTGTGAGACTTTAAAATCTAATTAGTACTAATGGAAGAAGGAAATATTTTATACTGATACAATAGACAAAGGATTTTCTTAATCACAGATGTACAGGCAGATAGCTTGCAGCCTCAGTTCTGGTGCCTCAGCTATGGCAAAGCAATACCAGGAGTGCACTGTCCTAGACCTCAAAGAGATGTGTTCCCTTTGATTAGGCTTAGTGTGATTCCTTTAACTGATATGTGTGCACAAGAAGATAAACAGATACAAAATGAGGAAACAGTTAATTTTCCATCATGAATTGGGCAGGAGACAATAGGTCCACATCATCTTGCTAGGGATCAGCAAAATTATTAGGGTCATGTCACAAAATTATATTTCCAGTCATTGTCACAATGGCTGAGGGATGAGATTATTTATACATTCTATATGAAGATAGGAACCAGATCCCTAGAAAGACAATGACTAGGAACAAATGTCATAGGAACAAAAGGAAGAGAGAGGATAAGAGAGGAGGAGGACAGGGAGAGAAGGAAGGAGGAGGAGAGAAGAAAGGAAGAGAAAGAGAGAAAGGCAGGAAGAACAGAAGAGAAGAGAAGAGAGATAAGAGCGTTTGATAAGTTGACTTGGGCATCTTGGCCGTACCATCAAAACCTTGAACATATAATTTTTAAAGCTTGAAAATGAGTCTACAAAATGTGACTCATATAACTCCACATGGCCAGTGTCAAATAAATTCCTGAAGTTGCTAGGCACTAGAACATTAATACCGGAAGGGCAAGGTAAGTTCAGAAGTTCAGCAAGAGTATCTAAGGACCTAGGTATTTGTAGTGTAGATGGAAAGGAAGAGATTGCTTATTTAGTTGTCTGTTCTTTTTACTCTATAGATCCACTGCTCATTTCTGGCTCTGCCACCATGTGAAGAAGCAGCAGCCACAAGTTGGAACCAGCACATGTAGGAGAGATTCTGAGTACCTTGCCCATTGTGTCAGACTGTATTCAATAAAACCATCAGACAAAAAAGTCTTTCTCCCTTGTCTGTGGCAGGCATTTGGTCATAGTGAGAAGAAAAGTAACTTATGCTTGTTGTTCAATCACTGTGAACAATTGACTAAAGTTCCCAGACTTAGTTACATGTGCCAGAGTGGGAATTGAGCAGTGGACTGGAAACAGGGGCAGGGATGACCTTCAAAGGCCCATCCCTGAGGGACCTACTTCTGCCCACTGGGCCCTATGTTCCAAAGGTTCCACTACTATCTTTCTTTCTTTTATTTAGAAACAATCATTTTACATATCAATCCCCCCTTCCTTGTCTCTCCATCCTCCCATGCCTCCTACCAACCTCCACAACCCACCCCCTACCCACTCCCCAAGGATAGTGAGGCCTTCCATGGGGTTGGGCCTAGGCCCTCCTCTGTGTATCTGGACTGAAATAGTATCCTTCCATAGTCCCCAAAGTCCTTCCAAGGGCTCCCAAAGTCCATTTGTGCACTAGGGATAAATACTGGTTCCACTGTTAGAAGTCCCATAGACTGCCCAGGCCTCCTAACTGACACCCACATTCAGAGGGCTTGGTTCAGTCCAATGCTGGTTCCCCAGATTTACAGCTGGGGTCCCTGTGCTCTCACTTGGTCAGGTTAGCTGTTTCTGTAGGTTTCTCCAGCATGGTCTTGACCCCTTTGTGCTCATCCCTCCTCCTTCTTTACAACTGCATTCCAGGAATATGGCTCAGTGTTTAGCTGTGGGTGCCTGCTTCTGCTTCTATCAGTTACTGGATGACGGCTCATGGTTGTCTTTCTGTGACTGGGTTACCTTATTCAGGAAGGATTCTTCCAATTCCATCCATTTCCCTGCGAATTTCAAGATTTCATTTTTTTTTTCTGCTGAGTAATAGTACTCAGCAGAAATAGTACATTATGTAAATGTACCACATTTTCTCCATCCATTCTTCAGTTTAGGAACATCTAGGTTGCTTCCAGGTTCTGGCTATTACAGACAATGCTGCTATGAACATAGTTTAACATAAGTCCTTGTTGTATAAATGTGTATCCTCTGGGTACATGCCCAAGAGTGGAATTGCTGGATCTTGAGGTAGACTGATACCTATTTTCCTGAGAAACTGCCATAGTCATTTCCAAAGTGGCCTCACAAGTTTGCACTGCCATCTTTCTTTCTGGCTTTTAGATTATTGTAGTGCTTTCTCTTTGGGCCTCCAACAAGCTCCCAAATCATGACATGGAGATTTATTATTGGTTATGAATGCTCAGCCTTATCTTATGCTACTCCCCCTAGCTCTTAAAACTTAATTTATCCTGTTTCTCTTCATCTACATTTTGCCTCAGGTTTTTTACTTTTCTTTCATTCTGTGTATTTTACTGCCACGGACCGCCTCTCGTGGAGACCATCGACCGAGGGGAACAAGGGAGAAGGCTCAAGGAGAAATCAGGAATCGGCGAGGAAATGACAGACAGACACACTCAATGTAGTTGAATATGCTGCTGCAATTTTACTTCATCTCAAGCAATGCTTATATACTGTTACAATCAGGGAACTTGGCAAGGGGGATCAGGGAACTTGGCAAGGGGG